AAAAATTAAAATTAAAGGATTATTCAAGATTTCTGAGAGGAGCTTATCATTGCCACCTAAAATTTGGGGCAATCGAATAACACATGATGCAACCCAGGTGATGTAACATAATTTCTCCATCACGTCGTAATGATGTTCTTCTTTCAAATATGTTGTAGTTCGGATTCTATTGATTTTGTGATGATCTAAAGACCTTACCGTTGTACATTTGTTTCTATTCCCTTGATTCATCCATGAATTGAAATCCGTACATGCACGACAGGGCTTTTAACGATGCAGAGGAGACATGTCTTGGTCCGACATCTTTACAGAAATTAGTCAATACGTTACGTAAGAGCACATGACTAGCACTAACAAACAATTTGTGAGCCCGCGTTCCTTAGTACTGAAGGGCGGTAGGTTGTCGGCTCCGATAGATCTTTGAGGTAGCTCTTTGGCCTCCTGTAATCACTATCCCTATGTTCCTCTTGGGGTTTACCGAACGCTATTAAAACCCACAAAATGTTAGACTTTCAGCCATATCACCGCGGTCTTTTGGTATCTCTTTGCTCCACGACCTAGATTCAGGATGTTACGTGAAGCTAACGAAGCAAGTAACCAACATGTCACAGCCTTTATCCACAAATATCCTTTTATCCTTCTTTTTTCGAGGGTTAAGCCGATAAAAATTGACCGCACTTTTGCACGCATGCCATTGTGGACGTTAGCCAACGTCAATTTTGTCACATTTGCATGACGACGTTATTTACGGACAACGCGGTATTTGCGCAGTTTCACTTTCTAAGGATAAATTATACACTATGCATGTTACATTATGCATCGATAGCAAAAGTGGAGCCAAGATATATGTAAGTTATCTTTACACTCCCAAATTATATTTTAACTCTAACCCAGTCGGATCTTCATTGTTGCGTAATTCCATCTTCATGCGTCAGCGGCCATTTGTTTTTGACCTTCCTCACCTGAACAGAGGAGAGAGAACCCACATTAAAGATGTATTCCCGAAATTGATCTCTGCATAGTTCAAATTTCGTTAAATGAACTAAATATGTAGAGTGTGTTTTTATATAATGTAGATACGTGAGACGCATTTGTGGAAAGCGCGGGAGTAATTTTTGTGCAGAAACAATTCAAGGCATTCTATTTTTCGCGCTTTAAACACTGCCGCACGATGATGTTTACGGTAATGAAGCTCAGTCTTAAGTGTGTCTAAAAATTCTAAGAAATTTGATATATCACGGGAGACTCAATATGGCAGCATTTTCTCCTCAGTAAAATATTAGTCAGTAATACACCTTCTCATGTCAAATCTTCATATGCACCATGAAACTTCCCGTCGTTTCTGCAATAACTTTCATAGTGAACTTAAAACTTTTGACATGGTAAATAATTCAATTGTTTCCCAATACTTAAACAATTTTTTTCTAGAATGAAATTGATACTCGGTAAGCATCATTTATTACCAATGCCTAAATAGAGCGGGCAGAAGTCACTTATTTATATGAAAAATCTAATGATTAAAACATTAAAAAGGGATTTGACGCAAACATTTGAATAATAACCAAGATGAACACTTTCCATATTACAAATTTAATGGACTTTCAATTGTCTGTACATCAGCAGCTGCTGCGACAGGCAGACGCAACAACCATTTAAGTTCGAAACTGATATGCATCGGCAACCTAATTAAAGGATGTTTTATAAATGGGCAGTCTGTGTACGTATTTATAACAATAATCTTCATCTCGCTGGAGGATACCTAGTAAAACGACAGCTTTTGTAAGTGAAAAAAGCAATACATGTTTTTTTTTCGCGCAAGCCGGTTTAACCAAATTAATTTACCCAAGATAAAGAGACTATTAATTAATTTGAAGTTTTTTCGCAAATATTCGTTTTATGTGAATATGATTCACGTGCGACATTTTTGGCCGACTACCCTGCGGAAACCATTGTGAAGATTTTTACCCAGACTAGCTACGAACTGAAAAGGTGAAAAAAAACTTTGGACTCACCATGTGTTAAAAGCCTGTATAACACTGTTCAAACATTGAAGATGCAAGGTTAGCTGTTGACGAGTTTGTGGGTCTGGTTAATAGCTGAGATAACAGAAATATCCTTGCGTTCTGTAATCTACATCTACTAGTTATCATATCTACGCTTCCTTATTCACAGATAGTATCATTACCTGACTTGTTTTGCAACTTATTTTGTGGGCGTAGAACACATTGTAGTGATGGTATACTTGTAGGTTTGTGAGCGTGGCTGCAGCACTGAAAACGTGACACATGTACTGTGAATAAGTTTTGGGCAGAAACGATTCACAAAACGGACGCATTGACCACGACTCTTTAAGCCCCACAATGGAGAAGAACTTGCAATGGTGGACCGAGGTTGCAGTTATCATAACAGTATTCATCATAGGGCTTGTAGGAAACATATTTGTTCTTATCATAGTTAACGAGAGAAACGTTAGGAAGACAATTCATGGAACATTTGTTACAAGTCTGGCTATTGCAGATTTGGTTTTGCTGTGTTCGGATTCGCCTGTTTCTATTCTACAACACTTCAGCCTTACGTCTGAAACATACTACTGCAGAGTACATCTGACTGTTGTTACAACCGGATACAATGCAGGACTTTTCACCATCACATCCATGGCGATCTATCGGTGCCATGTTGTAACAAATCCTTGGAGGCCAAAGCTAAAACGAAGAGGTGCAGTAATATGGGTGTCCTTCGTGTGGCTGGCAGCTTTTATTTTCGTTATTCCACTCATTGTTGTTAGTAAAATAACAAAAGATGGCAAATGTAAAGAAGATTGGCCTTCCCTTGCTCATCGCCAGGCATACACCGTCTCACTCCTCACAGCACAGTATATTTTACCGCTGCTGATAACAGTAATTTGTTACATACGAATATGGCTTTTTATGAGAAATCGACCGGTGTTTCCGAGAAACAGCAATTTATTCACTAACAGACGGATCCCAGGAGAAGAAAATACAAGAGAGAGTGTGATAATACTGAAAACCGTGGCAGTAATTGTGTTCTTGTTTTTGGTGTTGTTGTTGCCTAATCAAGTCGCGTGGATGCTGTTGGATTTCAGAAATGTTTCCTATGAAGAACTTTGGTTTGTTGCAGATATACTAACAAGACTCCATAGCTGTCTAAACCCAGTCGTCTATGGGGTGATGAATAAACAGTACCGTCGTAGTTACGTCACGTTTTTAACACGCACCCTGTGCTACCGTCACGTGTCACGTGTCGCGCAGGCGCCAACATAGGATAAAAGATAAAGATGAAAGATACATAGTTTATTCACAATCGCTTTGCAACTAGAAATTGAATTACACGCTTATTACAAAAAATGATATCAATAGTAAGATTAAATAGAACTATCAGTGGTTTAAAGCAAGTTTTTACGTTTTTGTTTTTACATCTGTTTTGGTTATAAATGAAATATGTCGATTAAATCTAAAATTCTATCAAAATAGGTTTAGGCTTTAAGGGCATTAAAAGTGATAAAACTGTTAAGAAATCTTTTTGTCTTGAACACGCGCTTAAACTTTCGTTTATTTTTAAGGTTCAAAGTACTTGTGTTACGAGCAGGAAGAGGGTCATTGAGCTTATTCTCTTCGCTCTGAATAATCTTATCGAGTAATTTGTCAAATAATTCCTGACGGCGATCTGAAGTTCATTTAGGCCTGATTCAGCCAATGTCTTATTGTATGAGCAAAATGGAAAGATGATGCGCATTGCTCACTTTTGTATTCCTTCAATCTCCTTGGAAAGGTATGTGGGGAGACCGTCATGGGAGACAGGAAATGCATTCTCCGTGATCGAACTAATACAAGTGCTGAAAAACTGCTCCAACTCACGGATATCAAGACCAGATCGTTTAAGCTATGTCACAGTAATAATTTATATCAATGGGGAGTTATGTGTCTATTAAACTTATCTTACGTCACTGACGTCACCAAAAATAGAAAAAGAAAAAACAAGAACCTAACAGCTGAGTGATCTCGTCATAGAGACAAATATTTATGCATTTACAGGGACTATAATTCAAGATAATAGAGGCCAGTTTGATGACTGAAACATACACAAGCCTTTTAAAAGCCTGTAAAGAAAAGAACTGGCTATATTCAGGATTAATTTATATCGGAAACAATAGCAGAAGTAAAAAGACTTTTACATAAGAAGTGCAGTTATAAAGTAGTAGACTTTAAGATTCATTTTGTAGGCTACAAGCAGTCTGATCTTTTCGGCGAAGTCCGTCACGCGAGGAAAAAAAGAATCTGTGAAAAGAAAAATGATTTTAGTGCGCCACGGAACTCTAGAAGTGAGGTACGCAGACATCAATTTTTTTCCACTGATTTTATTCCTTTACTTGCGCTATGGACTTCGGCGAAAAGGAGGGGCTGCTCGTTGTCTATTCCTCCTGAAACCTGATTGAAAACTGTGCGCGACTTGTGTAGTATTTGTAACGATCACTCGAAGTTCTTATCTTTGACATAAGCACCATCATGGCATTAACTTGTTCATAATCGGAAAGCAATGCAATACGGTTCTCTAATGTATTTACTAATATGCGCTCGTCTGGCTTAGTAAATTTAGGCAAGCGTGTATATGAGAACTTAATTGTCAACCTTCTTGTCTTATATCTTAAATGTACATAATTTTTGTTGAGTTCAATTTGGTTTAAATATCAGTTATTTCTTTAACTTTCCAAATAAAATTAACTTATTTATTCGTATATTTCTGTTACATCTGTTCATAAGGGCTAAATAAGATATTATTTTCAACCGAAGTGTTACCAAAAGACTGAATGAACGCAAATTGTAACTACATTACAGTCATCTTATATAAATATTCCTCAGAGTTCAATATTGAAGCTTTGATTTCCTGTTTCATAATGAAATGGCGCATCGGTGGAGGGGAGTGGGGTTTATAATAAATTGTCTTAAGGCCCGGATATGGATTGATTCTCTAAAAGCGGGGCTATACAACTCAATTAAATACAAAGGGTTCATGAGTTCATAGCAAGGATTTCCATGTATAAACTGATGAATAATTCATTCATTTTTCTTTTCAATATCTTTTCATGAACTAATCTTACTTCGTTACAAAAGCTATTACCTTTCGCCTCAGTCTCCCTGCCGACGGGCCACTAATTTTTTCTTGGTTAACATTTTTTTAAAACAAGTGTGAAACAAGAGAATAACTTAAGAAAATCGTGTTTCTGACAGCCTGACCTTTAAACGTTGTCCTTAGTCGGGTAAAACTCAAATTAGTCTCTTATATCTTAGTTTATTCCAATCATTTTCACCCGACTCAGCGCTGTAAAGTTGAGTTCAAGTCCTCTTGCGGCCTATAAAAACTGTTTTTCGTAACATAATCAGTCTTTTCTGGAATTGCTTTGGCAAAAAATCAAAGCCTATTGTAACTTATTACGTATGGTTAGTGAGACACCGTTCTTAAAATAGCTGCGCAGTATGACTTCGAATTAAATTTAGACTCTGAAATATGTCACTGGGAGGATGCTTGTTTCAGGACGACTTCTCTTAGTTCATGAACTAAGTTTTACTCTTTTCCTTCAGGTGAAAAAATCAACTTCAATTCTTCAGAAGCCTCACGGTTTCTTCCTGTGTATCCGAAATTCTAGGCGGGTCCTACAGTTGCAGTTCGCCGCATCGAACATGGAGAAAGCAAAAGTACCTTGACACATCTCCTAAACTGTCTGCTCTGAAAACAGTAGATGATCGGATTAACAGCTGAGTTTAAAGTTACTAGGACAACGGTTGTCGTGTGAACTATGTCGCCTTGAGAGTTTAATCCATAGAAATCAAGAACATAGGCAATGAGATTGGGAAGCCAACATACTGCGCAAACAATTGTCACGGTCAAGACCATTTTCGTGACACGTTTGCGCGACTTGATGACGGCGCGCTGTGATTGTTCTACCGGTTGCGAACTTGTGACCCAGAGTTTAAAAACCACTCGGCTGTAAAGAAGCGTCATAACAGACAACGGTAAAATTCCGACTACAATGAGCCATCCAAGGCTATAAGCATTCAAATACCAACCAGAGGGCCAATCCTCGAAGCAAAAATCTAAATCCTCGTTGTATTTCACCAACACATATACTGGAAGATTCCAGAGGATTGAAAACAGCCAACAGGCAGGTATGATGAATTTGAGTTTGGCCTTTGTGATGCGTTTTTTCTCGTCGTGTGGGTACAACACCGCAAAATATCTTTCAACTGCAACAGCAATCAGTGATACCACCGAGACCACGCCCCCGGTCCATACCAAATTCCCTCCGGTTAGGAACTTGCAGAGGTAGTCCCCGGTGTGCCCCATGGGGTGTTGGTACGTGTGAATTAAGATATACCGAGGGATCACAAATATAGCTACCACCATATCGGCGCAGGCGAGATTCACCAACAAATAGTTCATAGCGCTTCTCATCAGCCGGTTTCTCAGGACAACAAGACAGACCAGAGAGTTACCGACGAGGGTGATTAGCACAAGAAACGAGAAGGCCACGCGAAGGCTGATTTCCGCCGCTTCTGTGTAAGTGAAAAGCGACATGGTGTTTTTGGAACCAATACTTTGCTGAAGATGAGCAAATCAGATCTGAAAATAACAAGGAAAGAAATTGTCAACAATGTTTTTGCCTTAGTGTAAAGAATAAACATTCTACGCTAAGTAAATCATAGGTTCTAGTGAAGTTCTGTTGTATTTGGTCTGCCCAAGCTCGTCGATTCTTGGAGTAATTAACATCGAGAGAGGATAAGCCTCTCTTGTTAATAAACATTTTTCTGCTCTAACGTGTTTTCAAAGGGATCACATTGGGCCTATTCGAGGTGATCTCCTTAACAAAACCAAGAAGATTAACATGCGGAAACTTACGTGTAAACTAAGGTTCTGCGCCATCCGCTTTCTGAGTTGACAAAAAAAATGTCAACACATGAGCCAGTTAAAACAATCGATGATCTATTACTGTTTACACGAACCTTCGACCTCGTTTGTTCGAGAACAGGTTTTCACATGTTCAGTGAAGTAATCACTGTGCCGTTTTTCCTTCGATCATAACATTTGAGCAGCTACGAAAACCACTAAAATGATCGAAGATGCCTCAACTTTTTTGATAAAAGGGCAAATTTTTAGTATTCTACTAAGTGCAGGGTTTGCAAAAGCAATACTTTTCTCAAACATAAATATAATAAACGAGCTTTGTAAGGCACCGGTTTTTTGAAATATTGCCAAAGTCAACATGAATCATAGATGAAGACGTCCAAATTTTAAGTTGAAAAAAAAATTTTTAAATTCCGCTGTTGCCTGCAATCAACTGAAGACCGATGAGGTCGTGGACTTGGCGACATTATTACTCTACAATGATTATTTTTAGACGTGTTTCACATGATTTAAATTTGAACAGTCAAATAAATATTACCCGAAGAAGAATATCTTAAATGATCAGAAATGTAAGCGTCAGTTCTTAAACTATCTAAATTGAAAGTATCTTATGTAATAATTACAACCGTCCCTACCATATCGAAGTGCATATACGATTAATAATATCCTAATTCAAGACATTTCGTTGGAAACCTGGTCAAGGTTCCAAAAGGATTCACGATTTGAAAACCTTTGTATTTTAGGGCAATTACATCGTAATCCGTAGTTTAAAGATATGTTATATCTTCAGTGCTGTATCATCTTCATACATGTATCAAATCTATCGATGTGAAAAGAATGAATCAGTGCTATCCAGCCATTTATTTTCTTTGTTTTCGTAGTTCTGTTTTTAACTTTTTTAATCTCGCTGAAAAGGGAAAAATATCCCAGCTGCATGCATGGTTGCTATAATAATCATAGCCTTGAGATCATAACAATAATCTGATATAGGACCACGGGTTGTACGCGGCAAGGCTGACCCATCATAAACAATGGGCTTACGTTAGCCGATGGAAAGGCTACGAGCTTGTTCAGAACACTCCATCACATATCGGTGACTGAGATGCAAAGTTAATTTAACTTTTGAAGTGACGGTTAAGAATCCAGTCGGAAAACGTGTTATTTCTTAGAGGCTGAATGAAAATGAAAACTAAAACGGATATATGTAAGCTTTAAACCTTGATTACTCCAAGATTGGCGTTACCTTCGTTTAATATATCTTCTGTTATTATCTATAACTGGAATATAAGTGTTTAAAACTGGATTGAAGAGGTACAAGTCATAAAAGGAAATCATAAGTTGACCTGATATTGCGCCAATACTAAAGTTTTGGTTTCTTTATGCTCTAAACGCCAGTATCTAAACATAGATAAGAAATAATTTTTTTCTTATGCAAAACTTCGAGTTTTGAATCACTAACCAAACACATTCAGCAGGTCGCAACAAAAATTGAACGCTGATTCAAGCACCTCATATTGTCCCTGAAATAGAGGACAAAACGCGCGCAAACCACAGCAATTTGTCTGCCTTTCAGAGATTAAAACCAACACAAGTGTCGGTCGGAGTAAAGTTTTCGACTCCAGGCTTTTGTAAAGTAAAAGCGTGACTCATCAAATGAAGAGTGAATGAGAGCTCCTCAGAGTCTCTAAATGTAATATTTCAGTTCTTTAAAAAGCATATGTGGACAGTTGTCATTCATTTTCTAATTACAAGTACTGGTGGAAAACAAAATTCCTAACGTGCCATCCACGATCTCGTAAAATAAATTAAGAGACCCCTTCTTGTAAAGCGTCATTCTCTTAGTAAAAAGACCCTCTAAAGAGCACACGTAGGATTTACCATCAATGTTCGGAACTTTTTTTTAACCTTTCACCTCCGGAAACAACTAAAAAGGCAATTTGTCCTCTTAAAATGGCGATATTTTAAAAATATAGGCGACGAGAAGAAAGAAAAATATCAAAAGGTGTATGACGTTTGATTTAGCATCAAGTACTCAGAGAAACATGCATGGTAAACAGTGTGGACAATTGTATATTGATCTTGGAAATGAGAAGATGAGGGAAATGATATAATTAAGTTGCACGACTATCTAGTGAGGGCCTCGATGGTGTTTAAAGTTAGCCGTAGAACGGCCAAACAATTTAGCCGTTAGGCGTAAAAATTGATACATTTTAATCGTTGGTCGTAAAAAAAAGTTAACTGTAAAAATTTTTCATTCAATCAAAAGAGAAGGAAGTTCCATTAGCCGTTAAGGCCATTACGCCATTGAGAGCCTCCATATTGCGTTTCCTATTTTGCAAAGTGTTTCCTCAATTATCAAAGAATTTCTACGTAAACATTGGCCGTAGACTATATCTTTACTTCATAGCCACGAATTGCTTTCATGAGAGGCCTCGGATATTGCAACTAAACTTGGTGTTACGTTTGGTAATGATTTTCCAGGTGATGTTAGAGATGACAATTACGTAGAGATGCTAAACGAGTCTAGTTGGATTTGGCCACTGAACAATTATACTCTGCCCAAGTGTTTCGAAGTAAAGATCCCACGAACTGAGTTTTGAATAAGAAGGTCAATTTGATAAAAAAAAAAAAAACGACAACAACAACAAAGCAAAACAAAAACAATAAACCAAGAACCTAAGAGCAGAAAAAGAAAAAAAAAGACAAAGAAGATCTTCCTATTTTGTTCGATCTTTTTCCATTTGAAGTTGCCATTAGACTCCTGTAAAGCGAAAGGATTATAAATGAAGAGGAAGTAACTTCTTTCCATTTTAAAAGGCTCATTTAGAACTAACTTTTCCCGCGGCACTGAAAAGTAGGTTCACACATTCGGGTGAAAAAAGCAAGGGGCTGCGGTACTTTCTCGTTTCTCATTAAAAAGACATTTTGGAAAGTGATACAATAATCAACGATTTTTAACTCACCAATGTTTTATAATTAGTCAACTTGTCCCCAGACCGTCGCAGCTTTCCTCGAACCTTAGTGCAAACGATTCTTGTAGCTGCTCATCAATAAAGGCGTAATCTGGCGTACATTTACTTCTTCTCATGTCAGTCTTTCAACTTAAAAATGATCACTGAGCTCTGACCCCAATGTCGCCGAGTTACGGTACCCGCTGATCAGCGAGATGTCACGGTATTGATATTGGCTTACGACTGAACAGAAAGATACTGAACTATTGACGTCAAGACCTATTTTCAGTTCTTCCTCTCGGGTTCCCATACTAAAAAAGTGATCTAGATGTTTTTTCGTCCTTTAGCCTTCTAAACTTAGATCTGCATGTTAATCTGAATATTGTTCCTCTCTGTATCTGTCTTAAAAATGATTAATTGAAGGTTTTATGGCTTTTGTCGGCGGCACTGCCGATCGGCGGTTCTGTCTGACCAAGTAATTGGAAGTGATTAGCGAGTCGTTCAGTGTCTCTTGTATAGAAAAGAACGTTCTAATTATGGATTCCATAGCATTAGATTGCAAAATGGATTTCATCTTTTTATTTTTTGATTTTCCCAAGATCAAATTCATGGTCCTCATAAGAGTTAACTGACTGTATATTTGCTCAAAAAATTTAGCGCACATTTTTCAAGATTATATTTTTTAACATTTGCACGGGTTAAATTTGGTATGATCTTTCTATTTTGACGTTTTTCTCATCAAATAAATATTTCGCAGCCGCGACTCTGACTCAACATATGTGGTTTCGTGATGACATTTGAATGGAAGGGAATAAAAATAATGACTACATACTACCAGTAGTTGTGGTCTAATTAATTACATGTCGTCGATATTGAACCAAAGCACAAATATCGTTGTGGTTTCGAATCGACATGAAAAGCAAATAATTGCTCCACATAGCGTGCTGTGTTCATCTTCTTGAATTTGAGGACTACATTGCATTTCTATACGACAAGCTAGAACCTCTTTCTTTGCTTATTTTTGCGCCCACAGCGCTAAACGACAAATATGATATGAATAAATCTTACTCATCAGAATGGAATTTTCCGTTTCTGTCGTTATGACTCTGTTCGTGGAGGGCATATGGTCATTGATGAAGTATTTTCCGAAAAATATCCTGCAGATTTAGAGCCTTTTATGACCCAGACAACTCAATCATCAGAAATGTTAATACCACCTGTAATTTTTTCGTTGCCCTAAGCTCTCACACGATGAACTTTTTCTGATTAGAACGGAAAAACTGAGAGATTATGCGGAATCCCTTGTCTCGAAACGATGCACGAAAGTGTTCTGTAAACAACACACGCTAGGCGAAGTCCTAACCCATATTATACTTCGTTTTAACTTTCCTTCATTATTCAATTCAGTTGGTTGATATTTTCTATTACAAATAGATGGATGCAAATTGAATTTGCATCAAATGAACAATATATTCAATACGAAGTGTAGTAAAGGTTCGGTCAAAGCTGAACTAATAAAAACTGAAAACAGTTTCCGGCAGGTTTTGGTTGGTATTATTGTCAATGAAAACTACGAGATCTCTTATTTGCTTCCAGTAAAATATTTGACATTAAGAAATTTACTTCCTTTATCGATAATTATTTACTTTGAAAGAATCGCCTTGATGTTGTTCTTAAGCACTCGCATGGCTGACTTTGTTAATTTAACTCCCTTTGAAGAAAATTGAGCATGAAAGCGAAGTCATGAATGTACGTTAAATTTCTGAGGCAACATCGATTTGTTAGCGGTATGGTCGTGTCCATTTTAAAACTGACTACCTATAACTTGATTATAACTCGTATCTTTTCTTGTTATTTTTCAATGCATGTATATAAATTCATGCCAAAATACTTCGTCGTTATAGTTTAAAGCTATGAGTGATGCCAAACCTATTTAAGCTCAACGAAGTAAGAGAGAATATTGATCGGTTTAAGTAAATGAAAGGTTTTTAATAAGCCCTCCAATTTCCAGATTACGTATTGTGAAAGTGTTCTTGAATACATCTGTTAAATCGGCACTCGAGCTTCTGTCGCATGTTATGGGAATTCATAATATTCGCATATCAAAATTGATAACACGCGGACTATAGAAACATTCAAGTTGAAAACAAACATATCGATTGTGAAAAAAAAAATCACTCGAAAGAAAAAGAGAAGCAAAGTATTCCGAAGACAGCTGAATCTCAGAGATTCAATAGCGAATCTAAACTTTCTGTCGTCAAGCGGAAATCTCACTCACAATTTATCTTTAGTAGTGCCTTGATCTGACTCCTACAAATAAAAAATCGTTACCTACCTTCATCAGAGAGTTAGTTGGGTAAAATTTTGAGAAATTAATTGACTGAGACCCCAGAAGAATCCACTATTTACAAACAGCAGTTTCGTTCTCAACTAACGTTTGTCTTGCGTGTAAGCGGCAGCACCGAAATCATTAGAACTTTGAATATCCTGGCTGGTTAATAGAGCATTAAATTTATTCATCATCTTTATTTATTCTTGTTTCAAACCCGACGTGGTGTGAGCAGTTTAGTAAAGTGCGGAAGAACGGTTCAAATAATGTTCCATCGCTTCAGTGTTAATCATCTAGTCTCTTCTCTGACTAAATTACTTTCTGTGAATCTGAACAACTTTTTTGAGCAAACTTATCGTGGCATGGCTCATCGTGCCCAGTAACTTTCGTGTCAAAGATCCGGAAGTCTGAAAGCTATTTATTAAGCTAAAAAGCCGGGCAAAATACCAAAAGGTGCTGAATTTCAATTTTTTAAATCTATGCTTTTGTAATTCAAGTTTGGCTAATTGGAATCCGATAGCTTCAGGAATAAGAAAACCGTAATTCTGCAGATAAATGAAACCTTAGCCCAATGCATCACAAGAAACCGCTCGTAGTGTAAAATCAAAGCTTCATACAAAATTAAATCAATTGGGTTTTTTTTTAATTAGGCTTTGATATTTGATATTTGTATGCATAATATAGCCCGTGATTTTAGAATTGATTTCTTAAAATTAATTATTCAGTTTTCTTTGCCATGGGAATAGACACCTGAATCCTTATCCAGCAGAATTGAGACACCTTTTCCATGGGTTGACGGAGAAAGAGGATAAACTGATAAAATTTATGGGAAAGAATCCTCGATATTAGATCAGGGTCAGAAATAAATTATTTGAGCAATCAATTCTTGAGGACTTATGGTTAAAATTCTCTTCTTTTGTTTGATTCACGTAACTAGAGTTATTTTTTCGTTCGAAATGTTTCTCTAACCCATGAACACAAACAATTGCCTTAATTAATTTACCTCAAATGTTGACTCAGTTGTATCCATGCACTTGCTGATTCACAGGTGAAGCCTTTGCTAGCTTCGAAAAATACTTTAAATTCATCTTAAGTTAACTGGGAAAGCTTTTCAACTGAAACGGTTCTGATCAGAGTGGGTCAGGCTGCAAAGAACGTGAGTTGAATATTTATGACTGAAGAATGTTTGTGATCGCGGGAAATGCTCAGCATGCTGGTAGGAAATGTACCGAGAAGTAAATTGAACCGGCCCGCTGTTATCAACTGATTTTCGGAAAACATTAAAGAAGAGAAACTCGTTAGCTTGCGGCCCTTGGTCGAGGTACCATTTGTCATGTAATCTTACAGATAAAACTAGAAATTGTCGCTGGATTTGATTAAAAAGACATCCTAGGTTGCATCGAGTGGAAAAGGTCGTCAATATATGATTAAGAAGTTTAAACCAGAGGTTAGCATTGGGTATTTATCCAAGCGTTATTTAGCAAGACATTATAACGTGACATGTAAAACGATATGTCAAAGAAAAAAAAAAAAAAACGAGATTCGTGATTTTTTTTTTAGAAGAGCGATAAGCTTGAATTAACGTCTGAATATTTATGTCTCCCGAGAATTATTTCGTTTCTTTCTTTCCTCAGGGGGTGGGTGGGGGGAAATTGGGCCGGTTGTATTTTTAGGTCATTTTGCATATTCTTTACCAGGGTGATGTCACCTGATTTCACGTGATACACAAAAATTCTCGTCCCGTTTGTTTATTCCTCTTATATCAGCTGTAAGACTAAGTGTTGAGGTTTAAGTGATACAAAGTTACCGAGACTTCACTTGGAAAAACTTGGTCCAATGCTCGCTAGTTTTCATACAAGCAATGATTGATTAATAGACTGGTGTACAGACATTGTGGTGCATTATTTCCCCAAAGCAATAATAACAACTGCGATGACCACAACTAAATCCTGGATATTTCTTCATTTCAGTAACGATCATTAGCAACCAATTAAGGAACTGGTGTATTATAGCTATCGTACCCGCTGTTCTCGGGTAACTTGTCAAGGCTACTGTCACGAAATGTCATGAAATGTCAGCCGACCGATTAGCTGTAGAGGCAGAAATTAGAGGGTAGTTTAGCCTTCCGATTTAATGTCTTTTAGAATCAGTGTTGCTCCGAATTGCGGTTAATAGTTGTTAATTAGAATTTTCAAGTTATGCTTTCATCCTACGACGGTTAAAACCGTCGTGAAAAATTTGACTGAGGGAAAAAAAGTTACCAATATAATTAGAATCACCCTGAAATGTTCAATAAATCATATTTCATGCATTTCATTAGCCTTGATTGTTCCATTGTTCACTGAAGATTGAACAACACAACAGTTGACTAATTTGACTTCATTTTTATTATGTCCTCAGTCTGCCTCGTTCAGTATGCGGTGTTAGTAAATCTTATTGTGTTATGCGGTAAGTCTCTCTAGATTTAGTTTGTCGTAAAGTAACTTGCTTCAAAGAGGAATTGAAGGCGACATTGGTTGTTGAAAGTTTTTCCTTTGTAGTACCTGTAAGGCCGGTGAAATTTTGATTGAAAAGCAGACTACCTCGAATGTATGGATGAGTTTTCTGGCACAGTCACTAAGTCTTCTAAGGATCGATTACCCGAATAGAGAAGAACAGTATTTTCCATCAGTTTGTGATAATATAACAACAAAAAGAAATATCGAAATTAAATATACCAGCAGACACAGGTCTTAGTTGAATTACATGAAGTGCAAGGCTCGTGAGACACAAATCCAGCACTGAGGGAGCCAGATAAACAATAGATTTCCTTTTACTTTAAACAAACTCATCGCAGTGGAACTTATGGTCAGGGACTGTTTAAAATCAATTTTACAATTAAGAAAATTTTCCTTTTCTAATCAGAAGTATTATGGTTGGTCGCCCTCATTGAACGTGCCTCTCTGCCACTCAGAAAGTAGCTTCTTGTTTATTTACATCTATGTTCTACTCCTTCCTAGTGGGAGGGCGATATGACTCTCACATTAAAATCTCTCAAACAGAGGCAGTTGTACAGCGCTTTCTTTTCCCTTAAAGTCCATTTTTATGTTATTGATATCAACAGCGGCGACACTTAACACAGCTACTACTGAACAGTCTTTTTCCCAGAAAGGCCACGCCCAAACACAGGGAAAGTCAAAGGTCCTTCCACCACGAACACTGCCGGGAGATATAAATCACGCGGGGGCGAAAATAGGTCAGGAGTTTTATATCAATGTAATCTCTAATATTGTTTCGAGTTAGAATTGAATTTTTTTTTACAAAAGCTTCTTCCTTTGCAACAAATGGTAATATAATGTGGCTTACGGCATGTGACGAGTTATGTATTTTGACCCGTGCTTATTCCAGACGTTCAGTTAGTAAAGAAATAGTAAACGGCGCGATATTACGTAGCAGCAGAGCGAAAACGCGAGGGAGGCCCTCCCTCATTTTCACATTTACATTACCCACTCCTCCAAGGCAGCAAAATTGTCACTCCGATTATTTTCTTGATCAGTTACGACCTTTTCCGTCTCCCTTCGGCCAAAGTCCCTCAGCACTACCAATAACAGAGGGACTTTTGTTAGATGCTTAATGGAAAAGTTGAGCCAGAACAATGGACGATTTGTTGATACGGGTTTGGGTCAGGTCGCGACTCGACTCAGACCTCCCTCGTCTTTTCACTCCCCCGCTACTATCGTTAACTTTGACCTAATCACAGGGTGCAATATGCAGAAAGCAAGACGAGTGAAGACTGGCAGACTTGCAAAACTCCACCTAAGGACTGCATGAATTCATTTTAATAATTACATCTTTTCGTTTCTCTTATTTTTTATTTCTATATTAGGAAATGTGTGTACGGGAGTTCCTGATGGTGACTACGCCGACATACATAACCCGTATGGTTATATCACCTGCCAAGGAGGTCAGACAATCCGTAAAAACTGTCCACCAGGGAAGATGTGGGATACAGAGACGAAAAGCTGCGTTATGCAACTGTGATCGTTTGCTAATTAAGATAATTTTGTTTATTCATGAATAAAGTCAGTGATCTGACCGCTTGCAGCCTGTTTGTCGGTCACAAGTATCGTTTTCCTTTTCGGAAAATTCCCTTGAGTTTGCGTGAAATTTTCAAAGGTAAATCAACTGGAATTGTAAGGCTTTTACAATTCTGAACAGCTTTTAAAATGATTACTGACATGGGAACAATGAAAGATCTAAAGAAGAAAAAAATCATCAACTTTTTTTACTCCGTTAGATCTGAAGAATTTTCGCTAACTAGGGGCGAATCTTAGAATTTTGGATAGAAACGTCCAAAATTACTTCTCTTCCTGTCTTCCTTCAATTCTCACGACAATTAATGTCTCCAGGTCCGAAAAACCCAAAACAAAACCGTTCCACGAACATTTCCTAAAAACCCATACTTTCAGTTTACTAAGAAACTATGTGAAACTATAAATGTGCTGAAGTATTGGGTACACACAAAAATAACCCTCTCATCGCATGAAATTACGTAACTGTAAGGTTTGATCCTCTTGGGAACGCAGAATTTTTCACTTTCTCCCAGGCTCATGACAAGAAGAGTAAACATCATTCAAGTCTTGAAATCCAAATCGTGTTGAAATCCTAGAGCCTCGCTTTTTTTTTTCCAAATTAGGTCCAAACTCACCTGCCACGGAAGAAGACCGCGTAAAATCGTCCTTATGCAACATCGTCCTCTTTTTCTTTTCCTTTAGCAAGAAAAAAACATGATTATACCACCAAATGATTATTTAAGATGAAGCGAGTATAAAAACACCAACTCTATTTTGCAATGTCAGCTTTGAAAGCCACACCACGCCCTTTAAATACAACACCAGTTGTTTAGTGGCCTAACGAGACAATGAGAATCATGATCATGATTTAGTACTTTTATCTCTCATTTTATATTCCTTTATTTTTTTACGAAATTGCCCTCTTTTAGAAGCTTTCAGTTGATGCGCTAAAATTGCATCTTTAGAATATTTTTATATAGCTAGGTATAATTGATCCTTTTCGAAAATATCTGTTTTCATTAAATTTTCAAAGCATTACCTCAGTTAATGTTGCCCACGTCAGTCACTTTTAGTTTCATTAGGATGCATTACAAAGGAGTACGCCAAAGTAATCAGTTTTCATCGAGAAATATCCAAGAACAGAAAAGAACCTCAGCTTTGCCAAGCTGAAGAAGGTAAGGTAAGTTAGCCTGAAATATCTTTTTCTTTTAAATGACTGGTAATTCAATTTATGGTAGCATTATATCCTCGAATTGACATTTTAGGATCATTAGCATAGTGAAAATCAGTCTTAATTGTTTCGTTCCCTTCGGGTCAGATTCTCGTGAGTCCTCTGCGAACAATGTCTTATGCCTGAGGCAAACTCGGGGCTTGTACACGATAGGGTCTTTCACTTCTAAAAGGATAAAGAGCCCATAAGTTAAAAATTACTACGAACGAACCCAACTCAGCGTAATTAACAAAAATGAAATGAAAATTTTACTGATTTCACAACCAGTCAATGCCTAAACACAAGAGTTTATATTCTCTTGCTACACATTATAGACTCGAAATTCTTGTCGAGGCTATACGCGTTGATCTCTTTTCTTGTTTCAAAGCTGTCTCGATGCAAATCAAAGATGCGCAGGTCATATTGCTCGTCCTGTTGGACTGGTTTGTTCAAAACAACGGTGGGTACATCTACATGTCAAGTGAAGATCAGTGAAGGCTTAGATATTTTTGATTTGACAACTGACGTAACACTAGACGCTGATAGCATAGACTGACTGATTTTTGACAATTAGTGAAGTCCAGATTGATAGATTCGGGGTTCTTAAGCTGGTTAGGTCCTTGTATTATGTCTTGTAGCAGAGCAAAATATTTACCACTCCCTCCCCCCTGCCCTCTCCAGCCATATGTGTAACAGTAAAATAAGGCGTTCATCTGAAATGCTAGGGATTGAAAAGCAACGAGGTGACAAATTTTCTGGAATGGGGTAACAATCCTGGGACGTTGCTTTATGTTGAAACAGGATCATGGTGTGACTGTCACGTGAGTCAGTCTCGTATGCCGGCTGAGATTTTACAAACGTATGTCTACTTTTATCTTAAGTAAAAACACCTCGGGGGCAGATAGATGAAACTAGGATTAAGTTGAGGAAGGTTGAGCAGATAAACATACTTGGTAACGAACAGATTTACTATTAAATTGTGGAGGAGTTCCCGACGAAAAGTTTAATTACCGCCTGATCTGTTGCCAGCCAGAAAGGAACTACTCAAATAATCCGCAAGTTTTTCTACTTTCTCTGCTGGGAAATCTACTCTGAAAAAGTGACTTCAAAATTTTCTTTTGTAAAATATTCAGTATCAGAACAAAGAACTGTTAAGAAAGCCTTTCTTTCGATCTCCAGGAGTAACACAATATATTGAACCTTCCTACAAATAAACAAATGAAGTGCTCTCTCCGTTTGCAGATCAAAATGCAATAAATTAATGTCATTTCATTTTCGACAGTTGGTAAGCATCTTCTTGTGGCGTACTGGGGACAAAACAGCTCAGGAAACGACTTTCCAAATAATCCTGAGAAAGAACTGAAAGATGTCTGCGCCAAACGGAAGTACGACATTATTGTGATTGGATTTGTGGTGACTTTCTTTGGAAAAAATAACAAAGGTACGTGAAAAATCATGAACGACAAAAAGGGAAAAACTAATATACTCGTGCGGTCACCTTGTGTTAGCGTCACGAGGACAATCTGTGGTAACTTGCGTGACACACGCGTACATAATAAGCTACTGATTTAGATTTAAAACTTTTCAACACAGATGAGATGCCGGAGGTGAATTTTTCTGGTCACTGTTGGGAACCTGCATCACCGCAACTCCCAAACCTTTATAGGTGTCCCAACATCGAAGAGGGCATCAAAGCTTGTCAGCAGATGGAGAAGAAAGTTTTAATATCGCTTGGAGGAGCAACAGGCAAAAATGACCTGACAGATGAGAAAGCAAAAGTGCTGGCTAAAAATCTCTGGGATCTGTTCCTTGGAGGAAAGGAAAGATCCGACATCAGGCCATTTGGAAGGTGAAATAACATTACTTCGAACAGGGAATCATGATCTATTGTTAGCCATAAAGGATGGGGGGGGGGGGGGGGGGGAAGTTTGGTGGGAGGATTCTGGTTGTGTAACTGAAAAACTCACCAGGGCCCCCCGGCTCTGTAATATTCTTATGCCTCTCTTTGCCCCTCCCTCCCTCCCCACCTCTTATTGGCTGTTAATTGGCAGTCGATTTTTTTTAGTCCTCCTCTTTAAACTCTGCTGCGACGACTGTTTCCCCTTCCGTCCCCTGTTCCTCTAAAAAGAACTCTCCGCTTCCCTTCCCCCCCCCCCTCCCCAACTCCAGGCGATGAAAATAAATGGTTGTCCCTAATTTCAGTAATGTTTCTTCCAAAGTGCAATTCTCGACGGTATCGACCTGGACATCGAGGACGCCAAGTCAGAAGGCTATGCTCAGCTGGTAAAAAGTCTTCGAGATCTGGAGGACGGCTCGAAAAAGTATCTGATTACTGGTGCTCCTCAGTGTGTATATCCTGATGCATCTCTCGGCCCCTCCGAGGGTACTGCCCTGACTGACCAGGGAGCCCAGTTTGATCACGCCTACGTGCAGTTCTATAACAACTTCTGCCACACTGGCGACCAAGCACAATTCTATCCAACTATGGATAAGTGGCTTCAGTTTGCATTCGAAGCTACCCGAGGAATAATACTGAAGAGAACTGCGGAGGTTTTCGGGCCCAAGATATTTGTGGGGATGCCGTCTCACCCAGGGGGTTCAGGAGATCCCAAGTATTACCGGACGCCTCAGGAGGTGGCCGCGATCTATGAGGTGATTTGTTCTGAGCTTTAACCAAACAAAAATCACGCAGTGAAGAAAGGATCCTGACATATTCTTTGTAACCTCGCTTCAAAATTTTATTTCGCGCACAAAGTTTTTTCCTTGATCCACAGAAACAAAAATGTCAAACTCCAATCCAGTCTTACTAAGGGCCTCACTTGTTCATTGTCCGATTTCTTGTCATCAAATTCTACAAAGGAAAATCCTTTTTTCCCATTCATTTTTAAATTTTTTTTCTACACAGAAACTAAAGGATAAGCCAAACTTTGGAGGGTTCATGCTATGGGATGCTTCTTGGGATCAGCAAAATGTCATTCAAGGAAAAGTCTATAGCGACCACATTGCGGACATTATCAGCGAGAGCGGCAACTCGGGGAAACCGACAGGAGTCCCAACCACAGCTACACCTGGGTACACCCCAACATCGGATGGATCGATTACCCCTGGGGAAACTTTACCTCCGACAACTCCTGGTGGGTCTCCACCTCCGACAGCCGGAGGTTCTACGCCTTCTACCTTACCCGTTGTTCCTACGTCTCCACCATCCCCAGGGGGAGGTAATGGTCTTGGTATGTGGGATTTTTTTTGTGCCAGTTGTTTGTATGTGTTATGATAAGCAGATCAGAAAAAATGTTGTGAGAAATTTAGAACACATAATTCCAAAGGGATGGAATGCAATCAAGAGATGCTGAGAACGACTTGGTTTTATCTGTGACAAAATTTACAATGCAGTGTGCAATTAGTGTTTAAAAGGTTGTCTGAGCAATTTGTTATTGAACCATCTATCACGGAGTCGATATCGAGAGAGGCAACCGACCAGCTTGCAACATTTGAGATAGATCGCTCGTAGACTTGAATCAAAAGATTTTAGTCTCGGTAGAAGCTGTTATGCTGTTGATTTTCAGCCATATAATCAACGAAATTTAGGTAAGGGAATATTTAACAAATAGAGAAGCCTTGACTGTGCTCTGTTCTGTTATAAAGCACGCAGGAAGCGGCTAGAGCACGAAAGAAGTGTAGGGAGAAACACGAGACGTAGTCGAGTGTTTCTTCCCACTTCCACTTCCACTTCCACTTAACACTTTTGCCTGAAGTTTTTAAGTCTCTAATATAGAATCTCGAAGTGAAATGTTCAGTGAAATTTTGAATGAAAGACAGCTGAATTCACCGGAACATGAAGATCGCTCGTGATGACAGCGCCGCAAAACTCGGCTGCAGTGACCGATGTGAATTGCCACTCAACGTATCGGAAAGGATATCAGAGCAAGCTCTTATTTTTTCACTCGAAGGGCGGCCGATGTAGTTTCTGAGGCTTGCTTTACTGTGATGACCGGAGATCGCCATGATGAGCGAGCCGCGATGAAGCGATGAATTCGCTCAGACACCGTTATGATTAGTATGAATTTTAACAATTATGCCAGTTTGGTTATATTTTTCATCATTTCTGTTTTGTCCTGTTTTGTTTTTGAACACTGAACTTTATATACTATACGAGTGTTAGCTGTGTTTGATTTTTACTACCGTACGTAAGCTTGCAATCTTACTGAGCGTGAAAATCTTTAAAACTCGGAATGTTTATTTTGTTTTTCCTTTGAGGATTTTCGTATCTGCTCACGTTTTAATAACGTAAATTACGGCGCATGGTATGTTTACAAACCTTTGTTTGATTCTTCTGTTGCTATTTGCCGGCTCGCTTCAGTTCCGAAATTTCACTTTCAATTATCGAGAAAAAGCTAAAAAGAAGTCCCGGAAAAGGTCGAACATAGTACAATTGGCAGATGGCGTGACAGCTTTAGCTCAGTTCTATGCTCTATACTCTCATAGAGCACGCTCTTTCAACCAATGACAGCGCGCGAACTTTATTATTATATCAAGGCTGAAAACCTCAGCTTTATTTATTATAAAAGGAGACAGACGTGGTTCATTATTGGTTAAACAACTTGTAGTTGATCATAAACTCTCTTTTTACAAAAAATATTGTGAAACGCATATTGTCAAGAGATTTTTAGAAAGTCTTGCGATGCATTCTGAAACAAATCTATTATTTTCCCATATTTTATTATTTTTAAGATTTTTGCAAAGGAAAAGAAGATGGGGACTACAGAGATCCGGATAATCCCTCGGGATACATATCCTGTTCCGGGGGAGTGACCCACAAGAGAAAGTGTCCCCAAGGGCTCGTTTGGAATGAAGAGGGAAAGTACTGTGATTGGCCAAAGAAACTTAAATCGAACACAAGGGGGAACCAACGTCCTTTCTATTTCAAGGCTCTGAAGCACCCAGCAAACGTGATTCAAGTCTTGAAGAAGCGAACGAACGAAGGAAGAGTCGGACGCGGAAGGAAAATGAACGAATGGAAGAACACAAGAAATACTGAATGAATCAGTCACGGAAAGAACTGATAACAATTGAAAGGACTCAAAGTATCTCCTCCTGAAATAAATCATGTTTACTCGATTCAATTAAATTTTAATCTATCCAAAGTAAAAAATCGCATCAAAGTAAGAACGTCTTATGGATCCCTTTATTGATTGACGCCTCTCTTCCAATTTGCTTCGCGAAAACAAACCTTTATCGCCCTTTGCACTGTCAAATATTGCAATAACATTGTAATTAGTAACGGAAGCTGTCAGTTAATTAGTTCTCCTGCGACGTAAAGTTGTTTTCGCGGACCTATTTCACATAGATGGAGCGTTATGAAAAACTGATACAATTTCATGTTCTACTTTACTGAGTAAAGGCAATGGAAAAGAGGTTGCTTCTCTCAGTTAAGCTCTACGAGGAAAATAATAAGCTTAACGCTGAACGCGTTTGTGCATTTTTTCTTAAGACAACAAAAACGTGATGTCTTACGGAAGAAAACAATTTGTATCGCGATTATCTGTTGCGAATGAAAGGACGGCCAGATAATGATATGGTTGTGTTACATGGTTTGCCTATTTACGAATTTGGTAGAGGATACCTGCCGGCGTGTTTGACAAGTGAACTTGATGTCATCGACGTTCACCACAAGACTCAAGGAGGGAGTTAACCCTCAATCAGTCTAAACAGGTTACTGTAAATAACTCTATTTTGCAACTGTCCAAAACACGTGAACCTCAGCCGATGGAAACTGTGTCACCAGCAGCATCGATTCAACTACTTCTGGTGCCACTACAACCTATCATTTACATAGCAACTCCTATAAACAGAGAATTGCGCCCTAACATGTATTTCTAAGGCGATATTCACTTAATTTATTTAAAAATTGCTTTAAATAATCAAAATACATTACTCTATGCAATGAATTACCTACTTTTTGACACGAGAAGGAGAGACTCCTGAAGATCGCGACATCAACGAACGATTGGCCGCTTTTAAGATTAACTTTCATCTTATCTCTCTACAGTGCATTTTCCCTCCATGTTCCGCACTTGAGACAATTTTTATATTAGCATCTTTCCCAACTAAACGATAGAGCATTGAATTCGCTGCAGTTCTCTGCTATAACCCAAAGTTAATTGGTATGCCCTTAAATCGTGTTAACCGCTGATTTGAGCTGATTGAATCTGATTTTAAAATCATCTGACCTGAATTTTTATTCAATTGAGGTTTAATTCAACGTTTGCAATCCTGCAGAATTTATGGGGAAGTCTATCAGAAACATTACTGCTAATTTATCCAAACTTCTCATTAGCATTTTAAGATGTTTGTTGTAATTAGTACCATGATAAAGGTGACCGGGCTTCTCAGCGGATTCCTTTGATTTCATAAATGGCGTAACCTTCTTTGAGAGTGTCATGTTGCTAGGCGTAGCTTGGTCATGAAAATTATCACTACCTAAGTTAGCGGTATTTCGCAAGGTACAAATTAAATTGACGCTTCCTGTTGAAGTTCAAAAGATTCCGTCTATCTCTCCCTGCCTATATATGAGCTTCATCGCTAACAGCTCCACTCACTAAGAACCCCACTCAACGAAAGAGCTTAGCAGTGAATTTGCAGCAGTTCTCTGTCATAACCACACGTCAATTGGTATGCCTCTCAATCGCTGATTTGACCTAATTGAATTTTTATTCAATTAAGGTTTAATTCAATGTTTAAAATTTCGTAGAAATTATAGGGTGCAGAAGTTTAAAAAACAATACTGCTAATTGATTAAAAATCCAATCTGTTCAATCTCATTAGCCGTTTAAGATTTTTTATCTAATTAGTACTCTAATAAATATGACTGGGCTTCTCAGCGGATTCCTTTGATTTCATAAAGGGTGTAAACTCCTTTGAGGGTGTCATGTTGCTAGGCGTACCTTGGAAATAGAGAATATTACTTCTGAAAGTTATAAGTATTTCGCAAGGAACACAAATGACGCTTCCTGTTCTAATTGCGGCTCAAAAGATTCCGTCTATCCCTCCCTGCCTATATAAGAGCTGCATCACTAACAGTCGGTTGCAGACAGAAGTCCATTGCCACAGATTTCATCAACAGATCGAAGTGAAGGGAACATGAAGGTACTGAAGAGAATCAGTAAGCATTTTAAGAAGAAGCCGAAGATTTCAACCGAAAAAATGACACCAGAGGAGAGAAGAGACAGTGACAGTGCCATGGTTCAGCATTCGCTTGAGAGCAGGCGTCGATCAAGTGAAACTAATGTCCTGGATCTGCGAAGACAGGAACATCTGGAGAAAATGAAAGAACTTTCCGAACGAAAGGCAGCAAGAAGCAGATACCAAACCATGTCATGTAACAGTTACTTCACGATGGACCGAGAAAGTGACAGTATCTTCTTGAAGGATCCGCGCCTGACTGAAAACGCAAAGAAGCTGACAGCGGAACAGAGGCAGGCCTTAGAATTGGACATCTTCAAGCCGTTGGATTTCTACGAGATTTTGTTCAACAGAATGAAAGCAAAAGATGACGGCGAAGCTTCGGAAGAAGAGCAAGAAACGGAGAGCACAGAGTATAGTCTATTTTGATTGTGCAAAGAAAGCCGACATAACACTGGTGGACATCACAGACAGTAAAAACACGTATACTAGAAACTGTGGTTTAAAAAATTTCATGTGGAAGGTCGATCAATTAAACAACATACCATATTTCTCAATGACTGACCGCTATTTAGCCTGTTACAGAAATGCGGGGTTCTAATATGCGAGTTTTTACTGTATGATGACAAAATTCTCTGTGTTATATTTCTGTCTGACTCGGTTCGAAGTATGCGCCGCGAATGAGGCGTCCATTTTCGAACTGTACTTGAGATGGTTTGATGATACGAGAACTATTTAACTGTATCTTTCAATGATGAATCAATAAAATTTGGCCTAGCATTTTTTGTTTCATCAGTTGTGTTTTAACAAGTGAACCTGTGCAAGATTAAACTGTAATATACGAAGACGATAGCATGAAGGCAAGCAATAATTCGCAGCGTCCTTGAAAGTAGATCTTTGAAACCTTTGTTTCGCAAAATCCCAGAAAAATGCATGAAAAATGCTAATAACGCGCTTGCCTGAGACAGTCCGTGTGTGTAAAGTAGTTGCCTCTTTCAGCCATTGAGTTTGTAAATGAGGTGCAAAATGAACAGGGCGAACATTCAATGGGGCGAAACGAACGAGTCTCAAAGTAAACGGGGAAAAAAGTGAACATGAAGGGAGAAACGAGAAGCGAAGAGAACGTAAGAGAAAGAAAACGAGAGAAACAATAAACGTGAAGCTAAGAAAACGGCACGTGAGGTGAACGTAACAAAGGTAAACGGGGGAAAAGAGAACGTGAGGCGAGCTCACGAGAAGCGAAATGAACGTGAAGGAAAATAAACGGGGCAAAACGTGAACGTGAAGGCGAGCAAACGGGGCGCGAAGTGAACGTGACGCAAAGCAAAAGGGAGGAAAAAGAAACGTGAAGCCAAGCAAACGGGAAGAAAAGTGAACGTGATGGAAAATAAACGTGTTGCGAGGTAAAAAGATGCGAAGTAAACGTGACGTAAAGTGGAAGTGACGCAACGTAAACGGGGTCGCGGTAAACGTGACGCAAAGTAAACATGATCCGAAGTAAATGTGACTTTAAACGGAATGCAAAGTACACTTGACGTGAAGTAAACGGGAGGCGAAGTAAACGTGATTTTAAGTAAATGAGGGACGAAGTAAACGTGACGCGACATAAATGGGGAATGACTAGAACAGCGGCAAATAGTTTTTCTCGTGCTACAGTAATTTTCTGGAGTTTCACTTACGATTTACTCATGGCTCATGATTGTGTTCAATTTTGTTTATTTTGTGTTTATTTGATTCGTGACAGTGATGTCGATTGCGACGAGAGGGCGGCCACAAACAAACGTCCTAATGGAAATACAAACACGTCATTATCTTCAACAGATGAGAGCTCCACTGCTAAAATATCTCTCAGGAATCAGATTCTGGCCTTAACATACTCTTTCTAAGTCAGATGTAGCTTCAGATTTATTTTCATTTTGTTCTTCCTAATCTACGTCACTGTTTTCTTCTTATTTTTGACCCAACCGTGCATGAAACCGGCATTGCGAAAATCATTTATTTAATAACTCAGCTCAAACTAGAGAGGGCTTTCATGTGGAACCCATGTTCCAAGATCTGATCTAGGAGCACAAAATAAGTCTCTGTGCAAACAGAACAACGTCTGTTTCGTTTTTTAGGACTCATAAACTGTAGCACAGATCAAAAGCACCTTAGGGTCGGGAATACTATTGGCTTAGGCATGTTACAATGGACACAAGCTCTACGCAAACGGCTTTGGTTCCAACAGTTAGTTTCCCCTTGGAGAAAGCTCGAGAAAATGGCAAAAGGTTTGAAATTTAAAAAAAAAAAGCCTTTGTCCTGACAAATGCAAATATTTCCTCTTGATTGAAAAAGCGAATGACATAAACGTAAATAACAAACAAGACGAAAAAAACGCTGATGATGCCGAAAAAGTCTTATGAATTATATTATAATTATATTATATATTAACAACACCACCTGGTACATTTTTCATATTTCGATCAGATATTCTCTGAAAGAAGGAGACCGTGTTGATTCGTGATTTATAACCAGCCTTGAATGAAAATGTTCTCGTCAGAAACTATGCCTTTTTAATTCGATTTCATTTTATAATACAGATTTCCCTCAGATCTGTTGACAAATTATGTGAACAATTTTTATTTTCTCAGACTAGTTATGAGTCTTTCTGATCAAAGTTCGAATGATTTTTTTTTCTTTGTCAGTTTTAAATCAAGCTAAGGGCTGAGGCTTTCCCAGGCGCATGTTTTCATCATTGGTTAGGCACATAGTCACGATTGTTCATCTACCGTGGTCAACATCGATTCTGTCCCTGAAAAGACACCGTCTTTGGATATGACGGTTTCAATATTATCACTGTTAATGCTACCAGTGAGATGTGCTTTACCTAACGCCATTCTCAAGTAAAAAGTTAAGGGCATTTTTGAAATCAGTCAATTCGTGGCAAACA